GAGCGGGAGGACAGCAAGGGATGCATCCTCTGGGAGGAGCAGGAGGAGAGCAGGGGATGAGTCCTCTGGGAGGAGCAGGAGGACAGCAGGGGTGCCAGGTGACTGCTGAGTTGGCAGCTCAGGGCAGCAAGGGCTGGGGGGAGGGAAGGTCACTGCTGACTCCAGCTGGCCACTTTATTCTTTCAATTAAAAAGTTGCAGATATGGGGATGAGCCCTGGGCTCTGTTGAGGACACAGCTGAAGGGGATGGAGCAAAGGACAGTAGGAGTACCAAAGTCAAAAGGCCCCAATGGCTGCAGGTGGTGTGAGCCACTTGCCTGTGGCCCTGCATATCTCTGTATTTGTGGGGCTCTTTTACTGTGACAGCAGCCTGGGTATCATCCCACAGCACTACTAAAAGGAATGTCAGCATTTCCACTTGTCAGCATCCAGACTTTCTCCTGGGGGAGCCACAGATTAGCCTCCCTGGATTAAGCTCTTCTGCCCTCCTGGAGACCTGGCTGGGAGAGGACCAGGGAGCTGAGCTCTCAGGATGCTGCTGAGCTGTCACATTCAGTTCACCACACAGCCCTGGTGGCATTTAGGGGAAGTGTGGATGGGAGCCCACTCCAAGCCCCAAACAGTGAGAGCAGCTAATGACTGGGTATTAATGATGCCAGCAATTAGTGCTCACAGGAAAATGGCGGGGGCCTGCTCACCAGGGGCATGTGGGAGGAAATAGAGCGCACATTCAGAGCAGCAAGCGAATTGATACAGTAGTGTGTGTGGCCCACAGAAGCCAGGGCGAGCAGCTACCGCTGGGTTTGTCCAGAGAGACTAAGGCTAGGGGCTTGTCTGCTGTGCCCACTTCCCTTCAGGTGAAATTAGGGCTGGGCACAGAGTTTGCGGAGACAAAGTTGTGAGAAGACACCTCAAAGAGAAAATTAATTAAAACAAGGGGCGTTTCTGGAGTTTCTGGAACTGTCTTTGTCTAAAGAGGGCCTAGATCAGCCCACATATGGCTGATCCTCTCTGGGAGGTCAAATGATGCTTTGTGAAGAAGTCCATGTCTCATCGGCAGGGTGAGAAAGGAAAAAGGATGGAGGGGGAACTGGAGCATGTTGCTCACCCACAGACAATGAAGACAAGCATGAGGCATGTCCCTGTATAGAGAAAGGAAAGGCACAGTTTCTTTACTAGGCAAGTCCATGTGCTCTCCCTCGGACAATACCTAAGGAGGACGCAGATGCTACTGATAATTTCACATTTGAAATCTTGGCAGAAAGAGCAAAGAATGTCAGTGCTGATCACAGAAATCTACTTGGAGGGGACCTCAGGAATGGCTGGGAAGGAGCGTCTCCTTCCACTTACTGTTGTTGCCAAAACTTTGCACATGTACACATATATATATACACAAGTGTGCGAAACCATCACTCACTGTGGACACTAAAGAAGTGAGGGAAAACACAACACAAAGGAAGCCATCAAAACACTATAAAGTAGGGTGCCTGTACGCAGAAGCAAATGGCCAGACATTGAGGAAGTGCAAGAGCTAGGCTAGCACTGGAGGGGTGAGAAAGAAAGCTAACAGACATGCTGGAGAGAGAACAAATCACTAATCTGTGCTTTCCAGATAGCACCAAAAGCCGAAGATCATTTCCAGCCTCTTCTTGGTAGGATGTGACAGTTCCCTGTGACTTCCTGGACACTTAGACCAGAGAAGGTAAAGAGGCAAGAAGGGGGAATGGCGCTATCAGCTGCCTCAACAGATAGGTCTTCCCTGACAGAAAAGGAGAGCTCTCCCAAAGGGCAGGCGGAGAGCCGGCTGTCACAGAGACTCGGAATCTGGTGCGGAAAGAAAGAAGTCACCCTCCTCCTCCAGCCCTGCTTCCCAGAGTTTGCCCAGATGGCAACAGGAGGTGAGAAAGCAAGGGTCTGTCACATTAAAAGATTGAACCCTCAAAGTTGAAAACAAATTCATGTCACAGGATACATTTTCCCCAATTCCAAGTTCCTATATTGAAGCTTAACCTCTACTTTGGCATTTGGTTCTACTGAAGCTAGAGATAGATAAAGAAGGAATCAAAGTGCTGGAGAGAGGGCTCAGTGGTTAAGGGAGTGCACTGTTCTTGCTCTGTTTCCAGAGCTTACAAAGGGTGGCTCGCAACTACCTGTAACTCCAGCTTAAGGGACCTGATGCCCTCTTCTGGCCTCCACAGGTACTGCACTCACATGCACATACCCACATACAGACACACATATACATGTGATTTAAAGTGAAAATAAATCTTTTGAAGAAGGAGGAGGAGGAGGAGGCGTAGTAAATGAAGAGGTGAAGTTTGTTAAATGAGACTACTGGAGAAGCTGGGGAGACAGCTCAACTGGTAAGTGGTTGTCATGAAGACACAGGGACCTAAGTTTAGACTGTGCCTCCAGCACCCATACAAAAAGATGGAAATAGCTGCATGCACCTATAATCCCAGAGCTGGGGACACAAAGACGGGCGACCCTGGAGGTCTCCACAGCCAGTCTTGCCAAATCAGTGAATTTCATGTTCAGTGAGAGACTTGGTCTCAAAAAGCAAAGTGAAAGCCAACTGAGATTACATGTAAGTATGAAAGACAGACAGACACACAGATGCACAGATAGACAGATATATATGTGCATGCATGCACACAGGCACACAGGCACACACACACACACACACACAATGCAGCTATTAGGGCGGGCAGGTCCTGATTCAGTCTGCCTGATGACCTTATAAGAATGACCTGTGTGCATGGAGAGACAAGGGCAGAGCTGCCAGAGGACAGCCATTTGCAAACCATGGAGAGGGATATCTAGAATCCAACATTGACAGTGCCTTGACCTTGGCTTCTCAAGTTCCCAGAACCGTGAGAAACTAATTGCTATAGTTTAAGACTTCTGGTCTGAGGTATTTTGTTGTGCCAGCCATAGCACACTGATAGAGAAGGCAGCATGACCAGTGAACATGGGACACTGGCCCGGAAGAACCACACACAAACCTAAACAAAGGTCTTAGCCAGGGAATGCCCATGGTTTCAGACACGTGGAGAAAGTGTCCATCTGGAATTTGTCCCACAAGCTGAGATACTCAACTACACAGGAATCATCTTTAAATTTAGAATCTGGCTGCTTTTAAAAGGCAGAGTCTTTGTTCACTTTAAGAATGTATACCAGGGCTGGAGCATTAGCTCAGAGCCTAACAGCACTCGCTGCCCCTCCAGAGCATCCAGAGTCAGTCAATACCTCATGCTCACACGGAGGCTCACAACCCCTGCCACTTCAGTCGCGGGGGACCTGATGCAGTCTTCTGACCTCAACAGGCACTGAATATATGTGCATGTGCTACACATGCACATACATGCAGGCAAAAATGCTCATATGCATGAAATAATAAACCAAATCTAAATGAAAAAAAGGTTTTAAACTATCTACCAACAAATTGTATAAACGAAGCAAAAGCCCACATCAAATGTCCACAAATACCTCTCCCTCCAGTGATCTCAGTATGACCCAGATCTTGAAGCAAGCTCAACAGATTCCATGACCACATCCTGTTTGGGGGCTTTTGTTATCCCAGAAACCATAGAGGATGGGAGAGAGTCCGTCTAACCGTGAATGCCCAGCCTCCTTTTCATTTCTAATTCATAACTGCAAGTTGAGGAAGGAGAGAAAGACCAGAAACAAATCTGCAGGATGGCTTTGAGTTTTCAGAGCCAACTGTCATCCCAAGTGACATATTCATCCAGATGGCAGGAGAGCTCCACAGTCGTGACCCACACAGGAAAACCAGAGCGGTCAACCAGCAACCGTTAGTCACTCCCAACAGCTGTGGGCGGCCCTTCTGAAGCTGAGGGAAATGACGGACAGGTCTGGCCTGTGACAGTGGCCAGGTGAGGTCACTCCCCTTCTGCTGGACACTTGCATCCCGCCTCTGTCTGGAGACAAGGCTGATCACATGCATCCAAACCTGCTCACTCTTTCCTGGGCGCCCAGCTCAGCCACAGGAGTGGTGACTGGCTGAGCTGAGAGGTTCACTGACGTCAGAACACCGAGACCCATCAGCTGTTGCTGCCGGGAGATACCAGAGTGGAAAGAAAAGAACTGCTCCCCACAATACCTGTCCCAGCCCCCACTCCCCAACCTTACAAGCGGGGACTCACGTCTGTGGTTCTCGTTTCTGTGGTTGGGTGGGGACCGCGTGTCCTGGTCTTGGGCTTCATCACCCTCCTCGCTGGCCAGGTGAGTGTGAGCATAGTGGTAGCTGAGTCCCGGCCGGTTCTTGTAGCGCTTGCCACAGACTAGAGAAGAAGAGAGAAGAATTGATGGATAATGTCAGCAACTCCTGCGATCACTCTCTCACACTTCGGGCAACAGTCCCCAGCTGTCCACACCGGAGCCAGGTTTCCCCTTAAAAGTACCTCCCACCCTCAGACCCACACACTGTAACCACGGGGCTCATGGATGCAAAAGAGGTATAAGAACACAGAGACTGTGTACTCTACCATTTTGCCTGTGAGACCCTGGGTAGGTGAATGAACTACTCTGTGTCTCCGTTGCTTTGGAGACAAAATGGGAATGATAGCCCTATGAGCTCATTAACCACACACAGCATAGAGTCCTTAGGGTAGGACTGTTTGACTGTGCGTTTGTTACGACATTAGGTATGCTAGACAAGTGGTCCAGCCCTGAGCCCTACTCCCGGCCTTAACAAGGCACTTCAAATGGTACTGAGCACACGGAAAGGAAGATTATCATCAGAACTTTGCAACTTCACCGGAAGCCTATGCAGTCCAGTGTCTTAGGTCACCAAGGAGATCAGTGAGGCCCAGCAGCACGAAGTGACGTACGTGGAACACATCGGTGGAAGAGCCACCAGAACCGGGTCTGCTGGATTCCTCTGCTGAGCCTCATCCGCTGCTCTGCGGTTAATTCTGCACAAAGTAGCAAACTTTCCATGTATCACCCGCTGATTTATGCCGGGAGAATGTGCTCTACTCTCACCGCAAACACAATGGGACTAAGGCATCCTAGTGGCTGTAGGAGCCAAGAGCTTGTGACCTCAATGCTCTAATTAGCCTCTGGCACCCCAGACCTGTCTCGAATGAGACAGCTTAAGACAAAAGGCAACTAGTAACATTAACATGGCATCTTAGAGGCAAGAATAAAGGGGGTGACTCAGTAACCTGGATGCTCGGGATTTAGACAGCAAAAGACAGGCAAAATGACCATGGGCCAGACCACCAGCCATGCCTCCCCACACTCAGCCCAGATCTCAGCCTTAGAGGGATGGGATTGCCAAGAACAGAGGCTTCGGGCTCTTCACAGTGAAACTGTGGCCCCAAATGCCCATCTTCCTCTTCCTCCCAAATGTCCATCTTCCTCTCCCCACAAATGCCCATCCTTCTCCCCCTCCCCAAATACTCATCTTCCTCTTCCCTCACATGACCATTTCCCTCTTCCTCCCAAATGCCCATCTTCCTCTCCCCCAAGTTGCTCATCCTCCTCTGCCCCCAAATACCCATCCTTTTTCCCCAAAATACTCATTTCCTCTCCCCCCAAATGCCCATCCTTTTCCCCCCAAATACTCATCTTCCTCTCCCTCCAAATGCCCATCTTCCTCTCCCCTACAAATGCCCATTCTTTTCCCCCTCCCAAGGCCAAGCCTGGAGGACTCTCCTGGAGCAATGGGGGATAGGTTGGTTCTGAGGGACTCTCCCTTCTCCCAGACCACTGGCACCAGAGAGCATAAATTCTTTATAGAGAGGAAGAGCAGGACTTCAGCATCGACCCTAAGTTCCAATCCCAGTTTCAGGTGTCCCAATTCAATGGCTATGACCTTCTCTCTAAGGAGAAGATACCGCCATAAGGACTTCGCACAACTTATCTTTTCTATCAGATTCTCCCAGACTTGGCAAAAATAAAAAGCACCATCTATTCTCTCTCTTAAGTAAACTACTTCTAAGGAGAGTAATTCATTTTGAGGAATAGCCAGGACAATAGCTTTAATTGGCAGAATTGGGCATCTCTTATTTTTATGAAGTTGGATCTAGGGTTTCACCGTTTTGAATGACGTTATAGCTAATTTTTAGCCTTTATTAAATTAAAGCCATTCCTATTATTCCTGTCTTAGAGTCTTATTATAGGAGCATTTTATCGACTGCCCTTTAAGTATCTCTAATACATGGCTTTTCTTTGGTTTGTGGATATGGTGAATTAGGTTGGTTTCCTAGTATTTCCTATTATTGAACCATTCTTGCATTCCTAGAACATGCTCCATTGGTCAGAGTATATTATTCATTTGATATAGTTCTGGATAATATTGCATCTGAACTTTTTAACTCTCTTTATCAGGGTTCAATTTTACAGTTATGTCAGCTTCCAAAAATGAATGGACAGGTTTTGCTCTGTGAAACTGGACAAAGACTCGTAATCTCTCTGTGCCTGTTCTCTGGAAAGGAAGACAGTAATACTTTGGAGATTAATTGAAAGATTATAAATCGTATTTGCAAAGAATCTCACCCAGCTAACATAATAGGCATTCAGGAAATGGTAGCTATCGGACAAAAGACACCAGTCTTGTTTATCACATCTTAAGGGTTAGACCTCCCCAAGAGAAACTTTGATCTCTCCTACCACACTGTGGAGTCTGGCAATTGGGTGGACTTCCTTGAGTGTTTGAAGTTCAAGCTGGTGACCTAATCACTATAAATTCAAGGTCTCTGTGTGTGTGTGTGTGTGTGTGTGTGTGTGTGTGTGTGTGTTCTCTCTGTCTCTCTCTCGCGTGCACACACAAAACAAACTAAAATGGCGCCTTGCATCTCAATTCCATGTGACTTAGGAAGCAGGACGTAAAGAGGCCCCTGAGGTACACTCTCTGGCTGCTTGTGGCTTTTCCATTTAACCTTTTAAATGATCCGAGGTCAATAAGCAACACATTACAGGGTCATTGACTATGAATCCACTTAGACACCAAACACACTGCCGTTGAGGGATGCACGTCTATTCAAGGGAGAGCGAGCTGCTTTCAGTATTTGCACAGGCAGCCTACTACCTCTGCAGATCCAGTCACGATCCCAAGTGAGCCGTTTATGCAATGCAGGGTCAGCCATTGCTTTTCTTCTTAATCATAAAATTCCAAGATCTTAACAGTTACTTACACTCACTGCCCACTAATATCATTCCCACTAAAGCTCTAGAGGCCTGTTCAGGCTCCAGGGATGAGAACTCACCGCACTTCAAAGCAGTTACCCCTCCCTGGACTTCTTGAATTACAATCCTGTCTACACCTGCCACCTTCCCTTCAGGGTGGCTTCCAATCCACCTGTCTGATACACCCCCCCCCCCCCGGTCCACCTCATCGGCTGCCATGCACTTTCTACGAAACATATTTGTTGAGTCACTGGTGTGGACATAGGAGCGCTTGTGGGAGAGACAAGAGCCAGGAGCGGAGGCAAGCCTGCATCTATCCACACTAATCTCATACTAATGACTCTTAAAACCTACAAAGCTAAACCCAAGCGAGACCATCCATTTCCTTCCCTAACACGGTAGAGAGTGATACTTTGAAGAACAAATTCTTTTGCTAGAACACAGATTCTCAGCATGTGGTTCCCGGATCAGCAGCGCCGCCAGTATCACCTAGGAACATATTACAGAAGTAAATTCTCTGGTAGCATCCCCCCCCCCGAATCAGGCAATCAGGGGGCACCCAGCCAGGGAATCCAGATTATCCTGGAACTCACTAAAGCTTGAGAAGACCTAGGTCTGACTCTAACCAACTTGGTCTACCTACCCGCCCAGTGTGTGGGTGTGGGGTGGAGGCCACCTTGAAATGTGGTTTGGCTGCTGGAAGTTCCAGATTCAGCGAGTTCAAGAAGGTGTCCTGGAAATCACACTCCTTCCTAAAGTGCCTCAGGATGGAGTCTCATCCCATATGGCTCATTTGAACAGTGTGCTTCCTTCATCACTAGACCCTCAAAATCAATAATGCATTTATTAAATGTTAATATACGTTAGATGGTGGCACCAAAGAGGATGAAGACAAAGGGTCCCTCATCCTTCTCCAAATAGTTCTCAGTCTAGCAGAAGGTCTGTGCTTATAGCGGAGAGACTGAGTGTGCTGGCTGCATGAACAGGTAGAGAAAGGCAGCTGAGACGGGCAGCAGATGGCTTGAGTTGGGGGAGGTGGCTTCCTGGCGTGAGAGTCCCTTGATAGGAGAGTATGAGATGAGCAAGACCTCCCCTGGGGCTTCCCAGCACATCCACCCAGCACCTCGGGGTGAGAAAGCTGCAGCAAAGAATGGGGCTGGGGTTGAGGGAGCTAAAACGAAAGACCTCTGGGCTTGACTCCATCCTGACAATGAGGAACCAGGGGGGACTTTGCCCAGAAGGTCATCTTAATTGGGCTCACAGTTTAGCACACTGCTTACAAGATGAATTTGAAGAGGGCAGGACACTATTTGCCTGGCTGATGGGTGGTGAAAAAGATATGGCTTTATAGGTAGAAATGAGTTATGGGGAGAGGGGTCTGAGATAGAATCTTGTAGAAGAGGGCATAAGAATGCAACAAAGTGCCAGCTAACACGGCTGTCTCTGATGTGCAGTGCCCAGCCTGGCCTTAGCTGGCACCAGGTCCTGCCTCCTTCTCAGCCTCCCTGCCTATTTCTTAAGCAGTTTTCTCCTTGCCACAGAGCCTTCAAGCATGTTTGTCCCTCTGCCTAGCCTGCCCCCACCCCTGGTTTGTCTGATGAGCATCTAATCATCCTTCAGCTCCTGGTTCTAATGCCCTTCCCCAGGGAGGTCCTGCCAATCATCAGAACCCCAGGGTTCACCTTCCTGGGACTAATCCCCATCAATCCTACAGGCAGTCAGTGAGACAGACCCTGTCCGTTCACATAGGTTACATCTGCAGTGGCCAGCATGGGGTCTGCCTGGGACAGGCACTGGGATGTCAGCTTAGAGAGGTAATGAAGACTCCCAGGTTCCTGGCATGGATGAGTTGTTAGAAGGATATAGGAGAAAAACCAAATTAAAGAAGGAAAGAAAGGAAGGAAGGAAGGGAGGGAGGGAGGGAGGGAGGGAGGGAGGGAGGGAAGAAGGAGGCAGGG